TTTCCATACAACTATTTTAATTATAACTAAAATTTTTGGATTACTATATTTGAAGTATTATATCCCCGATAGCAAAACCTGCAAAAACAGATTTTGAGTAGAGCTTGCTATCAATATTTGATGACAAAAAAGCAACAAATTGCACAGAGTCTGTAATATCTGACGATGTGAGCAAATTGTCCTCAAAAATATGATAAAGCTTGCCAACATGCTATGGCAGTAGATCGTTAGCAAAAACCGAGCAGAGCCTGTCATTACGCATAAAACACAATAATTGGAAAACTATCGTTAGATGACGTTCATTTCTCGCATGCAAAATTTATCAAACTTTCTATATAAGCAAAATCATAATCAAAATTTAAACATGTATTTATTATTTATGTATTTTTATGTGTAATTTTTATGTGATGTAAGACGTAATCCAACAAGAAAGTCCAACAAGGAAGTTAAGACAAGCTCTGCTCGATTTTTGCCGTCAATCTGTTGGCATAGCATGTCAGCAGGCTCTGCTCGGTTTCTGTCGCTAATCTATTCGCATAGTATATCAACAGGCTCTACTCGATTTCTACGGCCAATCTGTTCGTATAGCATGTCAGTAGACTCTGTTCGGTTTTTGTCGCCAATCTGCTGGAATAGCATGTCAGCAGGTTTTGTCGACAAATCCCGAGCCTAATGCGGACACAGACATCGAATTTGTTGCCAATCTGCTAGCAAATTGTTAGCATTTTGCTTGCTGGGTATAATACTTTTGGAGTACTCTATACTAAAAAATTATACATAATTACACACATGCCCTCTTTCAATCTTTTTTTACAATATAATTACAATTTTATAAAGTCCAATATATTTATTTCCAGGTAATCAGTGGCTTAGTTCAAAGTTTACTCATTAATTATGGCCTAGAACGTAGTTCATCCATCGGCTCGGCTTTTGAAGGCTCATTGACCACGGCATCCGCCTGCTTTCTGACTTCCGCTATACTACTTGCTTGCTACACAATTTCTGAAAAATCGTATAAGTTGATTCGTTCATCACTTTTTGTACGTATTTGTTCCAATAAAATATTATTATAGATTATTATACAAAGAGATATATACAAATAATTTTAAATACGTACTTATTAAGGTATGTCAACATTTATATTTTTCAATTATCACTTGTTATTATCAATATTTATACTTTTTCGTAATATATAATTAAAAAGCAGTATATAATTTTTATAAGTACTCTTTTATAACTAATTTTATAACTTGTGTGGAAATTACATGTTATATATATTTATTTTTTAATATTAGGAGACGATGTTCAATTCCTTAGCCTGCTTCCTTTATTTAAGCTCAGCATCTTATCTAGCTTTTGCTACAAAATTGTTTCTGATGACTGAGTATTATCTCAAGCCCGGTTTTGACGTTTATCCTGCCATGACAGCCGCTTACGTAAGTTGATTAATATCGCAATTCGTGAATTTTATGCTTTTATTAGTTTATTCACGCAACTAAAGACAAAAATTATGACAAATAATTATAATATCTTAAATGTTGAATACGACAGTTTTTTGTAAAAGTCTATTGATGGAAAACTATGGATTTTAATACAGAATGTTTTTATTGTTAATAATTTTAATTGAAAATATGTTAAAGATAATTAATTTCTATTGCAGATTCTAAGTGGTGTCGTGGGAATATTGCATGGTATAGATGCTTATTTGTCCTTTATGCATTACAAAATCGGAAGATAAATTATGATAATGACGGGAATGTCAGCTATATAATTATATGAACAAACGTGGCAATTATATAAATGCCTACACATTAAAAGAATATTAAACAATGGTGATACACAAATCTCAAAAAAGAGTTAAATAGAAAGTTTGATTTTACTTTTCATCATGATATGTGAGCAGATTGTAATTATTATTATAAATAAACTTGGATTGAATTATGTAAGAAAATATTTATTGATTAATAAATCGATATTAATTAATAATATTAATATTTATAAAATAGTTATTATATTAACCGATACTATTACTAATTAAATTAATCGTAATCACAGCATTACTATTATTACTATAATTAATATTAATATATACTATAATATAGTAATATATTACTATACTATTATTACTATATATTACTATAATATAGTAATATATAGTAATACATTAATATTAATACTATAAATAATATTAATATATTAATTATAATAGATTTATAATTTAGAATCGCATATTATTCTTATTTCTTATGTACTTGTTAAATTTTTATGATTTATAATAGTTGATTAAACATGATGGAATTTAATCGATTTGATATATTACATATAATCTTAGTATTCATTTGGCGCACTGTTTATCAATATGAGGCGTATCTGACGTGCTTATTGAATCAATATTCTGCTGAAATTTATTACGTCATAATATTAACATATTTATATGCGTGACAAAATGAATAGTATTTAAAAAATCAATGATTCACTACAGATTTATTCAATTTCATTACGTTAATGCATACGTGATATAAAATAAATATTAATAAAGGTATATAACGGAAAGATTCAATGATGTTTTAATGAAATATTCCCAAATATTGACATAATATATTCTGTACAGGATCAAATGCAAAATTAACAACGATAGTTTATATTAAATGACAAAGAATAATTTATTTATAGTGTGAATAAACGCTTGTTAATAGAGATCACAAATGAAACCCTTTAAAATTGTTACGTTTATGTATATATCATCAGAATATTTACATCAGTAAGTATCAGTAAGTTCTTAAATAAATAATTATAATTTGCAAATTATAATTTGCCATTACGTGAAATAAAGAAAACTTTAGTTTGACATAATTATTTTCAAAGCGTACGAATTTGCAAGATGTCTCAAGTTAAAGAATTTCTTTTACGCAAAAACCATTATTTTAATATCAGTCTCGCATTTTTCTATACGAAGAATTTCAGTTTAGGTATCAGTTTAGGAATATACTTAATAGATAGGATGGAAATGTCGCGGTTTCATGACATGTCTTTCAGTTTCTTTCTCTTTGTCTTGTCCTCCCTCATCTCCCTCTGTTCTCATATACGAGCGCATTCTATTTCACTTCCTCAAACGTTCTTTCTCCTCCTTACACTCGCTGTCTCCGTTTTCCTCCTCATTGCTCCGATGTCAGCTCCTTTTCTTCCGCCGTCCGGTGTCGTTGGCGTCATATGATTGCGAGCGTGTGGCTGTAGCTGTCAGTTTACCACAGAATCTCGATCTGATCGACACGCGGGGGATTCGAAGGTGCTTCAAACTATCGAAATCATACGTTGTCCGTTTTCTGTTGTGCTTCCTATTTCTCTTGACCGGCAAAACGCGAAAAATTGAGAATTGTGCTTTTTTCGTTCATGAAAAACAAGTGACGAAGGATGGAAGCACATGTCAGAAACGTGAACAACAGTAAATACAACGTAAATACTGTGCTGACAGAAGGTAGTATTCCATGTTAATACGAAATAATTAACGAGAATTCTGAATTGCTATTTAACGTGATTCTAATTTCTTGTTATTTGTCAAAGTTTCAGTCAAAGACCTTTTTTATATCATATGTCGAGTGTTGGAGAGTGTAAATTTGTGAACAATGCTATAATGTGTTACTACGACTAACTGTATAACTTAGCGATTATTTGTCAAATAATTTAAATAAATATTTAAAAGACAAACAGATGATTAATTAAATATTTCATATTAGATATTTGTCCCAAACTTTGCGAATTTATGTGTAATAATTATATTGTTACTGAAAAATGAATATAATTATTTTAAATAATGATATCTGAAGAGTGAATTTTTAAAAAAAAAAGCCAAATTAGTTGTAATGTATGACCATTTAATTAAAAATAAAGATATAATGAAAGTTCATATATAAAATTAATAATTAACAGTCATGATAATATTCAATTATATTCTCACTTGAGAGATGCACAGCTATTACCATTATGAAAATAAAAAATCAACGAATGTCTGTTTCGTTTAAGAACAGTAACAGTAATTCTCGTTAACGGAACAACTTAATTATTATAACTACTAATAACGAATACATAATACATAATACTTACAAATATTATTACATTCGTCGAACGCCAATAATAGTTACTCTTGCTTATAAAATTGTTACACTTGCTTGTGTTTTCAATCAATTAATCCAATCAATTAATCCAATCAATTAATCCAATCAATTTTAATATCAGTTCTTCATTAAGTTCCTCAATCAAATTTTAAATCGCTATAACAATTATCAATATTATACAACATAACATGTAGTGCAGCTGTTCATCAACAATATTATTAAAAATTCTTATAAAAACTCTTAAAAAGATTAATAGGTATATAAATAAACGAGTGAAAATGCATGAAAAGTATCAGTGAAAACAGTTTTCGCATGATAGCCTACATATACAATAGGCTCCTGTTTTCAACTTTTGGGAATACAATCCATTTAGCAAGTTTTAAAAATATATTAGATAGATTCATGCATTGCATGTCTGTCAATCGAAGATGTCTAATGCGACGTAATGATAATGCAATGAAAGCGAGCGATGAAAAATATAGATAAAAATAAAAAAGAAAAGTGAAAATGTGGAAATTAGTCGGCGCTCTAGACAAAATAGAATAATCATCCGTGTGTTCTCCGAGATCTCCGAATTAACCTACCGTCGAGACCTTGTAACTAGCGATTTGTCGTGTACGACAAATCAAACGCTTTGCCAACGGAAGAAGGTTGAATCGTAAATGCACCCGAGCATTTCGATTCACGAGTCCGTCGTTGCATTGCATATGCAGAATTGCGTCACGTGAGTCTTATGCCGATACTGCGATCTGAGCTGGCAAGTAAACGGTCCCAAATGTATCACACAAGAACGAATACGGCAACTTGACAACAAGACAAATTCCGCGAGGGCATAGCACACGTGAACAAAGAATATTCTGTATGTATATTCTTTCCGGAAGTACGCCGTTGTTATACAGAAACGAAATCACAACGTGTGGTTGCTGATATTCTGCGCTTTCGCTTTAAGAGATTATCTATTCTTTTTTAAATGGATAAAACGTTTTATTTGAAAACGTGATCGTCTAAGGATATTTATTCGAGAATTTTGTTTTTCGTGAAATTCTTCAAAATTCAATCTTATTTCTTTGTTTTAGATAAATGGTAGAAAAATAATATCACTTGATACACATAAGCTTATATATTGCAGTAGTTTATTTTTGAAAATTGTCACATTATTTTTTTATCTCTATTTTTATCTCTAATATATTTATAAACTATTTGCTATTGTTCATTTAATTTACCTATCGAAAAGAATATTTGTATAACTTTTTAAATATCTTTTAAACATTAAAAATAAAAAATTTACAAAAATTAATGTATTTTTTATTTCCTAGATGAATATAGTCCCTTAAAGATTCTCTGTGTAAGTCGAGTCATTATTGTAAGTAAATTAAAATAAAATATATCTCAAATTCACTGTTGTCAAGAACGAGTTTGCATTTCGAGTGAAACATTATAACAACGATAAAATGCAGTTGTCTAAAATATTATATTGGTATATTATTTCTATACACATATATTTTTATATATTTAAATGTTTTAAAATAGAATTTAGTTCTCTAGAAAATTTTGTTTCGAAAGGATAATTTGTTTTTCAAAGTATATTTAACTTTTCTTGAAAAATAAGTAATTAAGCATAAGAAAGTGAAAGTGTTTGTAATGTTATTCTTAGAAACCAACGACGACTTTTTGCTAGAGTAAAATATTACTTACAATGCCGTTCACAGTTGAATGAATAAATCTGTTTTTGAGTTGTTTTTTCAGGAAATAAAACATAAAAAAATACAACTATTTATTACATTTAAACAGATTTGGTTCACTCTTGCGATTGCAATATGCGCAATATATATATAATTGTTACATTTATCATTGATCATTTAGCAAGCATATCAATTAATCGGCATAAACACAATAATTTTTTTTTACACATATATAAGAAAATATAAGTGTTTAAATTTTCACAACGATCAACTTTCAAATTATATGCACGCGTTTATGTAACACATATATACGTCGTAACGTACGTAAAGTTTAACGAAACAATCGAAATGATATTAACTTTAATCTTAAATTTTTTTAATTTATTTTTAATGTAATACTATATCTGTATACTACATTAAATATAAGATCTATACTGTTGTTTTATTTCAATTGTATTTTAAATATTCTGCTTATTTACAATAAATAACAACATAAAAATTAAATGTAAATATGAAATTTAACATTAATTTTAATAAATCAACATAAACACATAGCTAGCGGAAACGCCTCTCGTCTCGAATTGCTCATCTGTGATAATCATGGCACGTGAAGAGGTCTTTCTTTAGAAAGCAAAGAGAGAATAATTCTATTACTAAGTAAGAGCTTGTTACGCAAACAGAAGGAAAATTATAGACAAGCATGATCGATCTTGAAGTTAGTTTTCTTTCTCATAGAGTTCTTTCTCATAAGAATTCTGAAAAAAATTTTACTCTCTTGTGTACACAGAGCTGCAGAAGAATTATCTACTTTAACAGCAAGTAACCTTTTAGAACCTTTATTTCTCGAATATAAGTATATTATATTGGAATTTTATAATTACCATTATTTATATAATTACCATTATATAATATATTTATATAAGTACCATTTGTTTCAAAATGAAAATTTTTATGATTTTTTTTAGTAATTACTTGTTAATATATCAATGTATTAAAATATAATTACGTATAATTAAATAACTAAGTCTATATAGACCAAAGATATGTTTAAACATAAAATGAGTAATAAAAACATTTCTTCAAGACTAGATTTTGGTAGCTATAATCTTTTTTGATCTATATAAATTTAATAATATTTATTTTCATCAGTTTCACATCATATTTTTATAAATTTGAAACGTAGCAACCTAAGATAGAATTCCGTTTTTATAAATTTATAATTAATTTAATGATACTGATTAATTACTTAATTATGTATAGTTAAATAGTATATACAATAAGTAGTGTATGCAATAATTATACAAGATAAAAAATATATATAATTTCTTATTTCTGTTAAAATTGAATAACATTAATCGCTGTACAAAATTGTTAGCTACATGTTGTTTGTATAATATATGTTAAAACATTATTATGATTATAGTGAAATGTAAATTTTATATTCATACTCATATAAGAAAAATCTGATTTTTATCGACTATCACGTCATCGTATAATCTTTGACGTTTTATTGTCGGCGTGTTTTCTCGACTCTGAACGTATTCAATTCTTTTAATTTATGATTATCATGAAATCGATGCTAATTAGAAAGTAATATAATCTTTATTATCACGCATAATTTTCATATATGTCAATAAAAGTACAAGTTACTTGTTTTTGGCACTTTTTTTTAATGCTATTTAATGCTATGTTTAAATAATGAATTTTATTGAGGGATTAAAATGAAGTATAGGAAGCATTCATACGTCGAAAATGAAAAGTTTAATTTATCTTGGCGAAAATCAAATTTATTTATATATGTACATTATAATCTGTTCTGAATCTTTCTGAATCTTTCTGAATCTTTTTTTATCAATAAAAGTACTTTTAAAATTGGCTTGTAAGCCTTAGCTGGCATGAGCCATTTTTACATGCATTTTTCAATAAAAGAGGATTGAGAATTGAGGATTGTGCTTATTTTTATAAAATTTGTTTCAATTTACACATTGTTTATTCCTTTCTTGTATACTATATATATATATTCCGATTTTTATTTTTGTCAAAGTAGATGTAGTTATTCGTACAAAACAAATAATTTTTGCATATAATGCGAAACATTGCAAATGTTTCCTTACAATTCTTTCAGCGTACGTGCCTACGTCAGAGACATCCCTCACTACTGAAGAAGAGGACGCGATCGTGACGTTAGTGGTCATCGTGATTGGCATTATTATCGCTATAGTAGTGTTATTTTCAATGGGTATCTTCATAGACTGCAAACATCAGTATGTAATAATGAATCTTCTATCAAAATATCTGCATTTTATTGATCAAATAATTTTCGCGAGCAAAAAGAAATAGTGAAGGCATCGTTCATTAGTACGTGTATGTTATTTTGTATATATAATGGAAAATTTTTATAATCGAATAAATCATGTAAATTGAGCGAGATAATGTATTAATCATATGTTCCGTAGAATGAGAATAAACTTGATATTGGACATTATTACAGAGAGAAAGATTCCATGAAAAGGAGAAGATTGAGACTGAAAATGCCACCATTTGTACGACAAAATCATAAAGAAGATGTAAAAGCCTTAGCTTCGGATATGTATTTCAATAGTGACATCGATTTCAAAGCAAGAGATGCTATAGTCTAATGTTCGGGAAAAATTACAATACATATTTTACTTTGATTTTTCTTATAAAAAATTTAAGAATTTCATAACAATTAGCTAGTATTTAATATTGAAAGGTGTAAGAGAACCGTGTTACAACCGTGATTCTTATAGTTATAATTCTCAGAGAAATACATACAATACACCTGCTATTCATCAAAGATATGAAACGGAGTTGATAAACTTGGAATAATGGACAAGGTGACTTATAATTAAAGTTAATCTGAACAGTAATACACTTATCTTTTTTAAAGTACAGTATTTATATAAGTAATTATATAAGTATTTATATAAGTAATTTAGATAATGCATAGATCAAATGATCTTGAAAATATAAAAGGAAGGCATGGCCTTAACAAAATTAATTTAATAACATTATTTATATCAAATTTAGGTAAGAGTTTTTCGCAAAGCATTTTCTACAAACAACAAATTATAGTTTATAATACAGTTTATGTACAGTTATTTTAATAAACAAATTTATGCCGTATATAATTATTCTATTCAATAAATGATATTTGAAGAAATTAATCTATTTAAGATAAACATTTTCTTTTGGTTTTTGATTATTTAATTCAATTTCATAATTCAATATAATTACGATAAATAAGTAAATAAATAAAATTCTTAAAAAAAACAATTTTTTTAATTTTTTAATTTTAAACAGTTTATTTATAAGTATTTATTAAGTTAGTGAATTTACAAAACGTGTTGTTTATCACCGAAAAATTTCCAGTCGAAATCATTCCGAATTTAAATGCATACATATATTTTAAGAAATAATATTTTGTAGAATGATGTTAGCGATCAGTATAAATAACATTCTTTGTGTTTCGATGCAGGTTCTTAAATATTATACATTAGAGAAAACATGATGTGTATAACAGTTTGTCAATTACAACCCAAGTAATACATGATTGTCACGATGAAATCGAGATGATGTCACTTTGATTGAAACTTTATCTTTCTTTATCTTTCAATAATTAATTAAAATTTCAGAATAAAATCATTTTGATCCTATCATTACATGTTACTTGAGTATCAGTTTGTTATGTTCTTTTTTCCTCTATAAAAATTCAATTTCTAATAAAGTTAAAATATAGATTGAACATGCAAAACAAATTTAAATAAAAATTAAAATAAAAAGATTCAAAAAAACATTTAGAATTTGTACATTTATATATTTTTTATTAATTTACAAATTGTTATTTATATAGTTATTATAGTTGAATCTGTATAAAATAGTTACAATCGCAATTAATGTTAGATCTGAAGAGAGAGAGAGAGAGAGAGAGAGAGAGAGAGAGAGAGAGAGAAGAAGAAGATATAACTGAAAGAAAGAGATAACTGTACATAGATATAAAAAATTATAAAAAATTTTATGTTCAATAATTGTTCTATAAAATTCTGTTCTAAAGTATATGATTTTTATAATAACAAATTAATAGAATAGTATTTATGATTAAAAATGAATCACGTATGCTATAGGCTTTCATGCGTAGTAAGATTCATTCGCGAAATAAAAAGGAAATACTGTTTAGGAAATACACAAATAAAAATTTTATTTAGCCTTTTCATATAGACGTTCATTTAAAAGACAAATTTAATTCTAAGACGTCCATTTATCAATAACTGCGATCATCCAGAAGAACGCTTTACACTTATATTCAATTAACAGATTGATTCCATTCGTTTTTAAGAATTGTATTACACGTGACGCAACAACAGTCATATTTAATCTAAAATGTAAAATGTAAAAGTTTGTCCCTCATAGAAGTATATGCAGTCTTTTTCTAGATATCCATTTTCAATTATCTAATATTACTGCATTCTCTCAAATATAATAATATTATATCCATTTCCTTCGCAGTATTATATTATATTTGAGAGAAGGAATTTAATAGTTTTATTTAATCATGAAATTTTCTGATAAAGTACAGATGCGTAGATCCAATTAAGAAGTTTTTACTATTAATCAATTCAATCTCCATTTATCGTTCTGTTTTCATTCAGTAAATAAGTTTTGCATATTTTTTGTGTGCAATAACTGCAGAAAAAGCGTTATATCTTTGTTTGCATTGGAATCTTCGTTTACTTCTCAATTATTAGGCAAAAATTAACATAATTGCTCAATAACTGCTAGAAAAAATGCATAAAATTTCAGAGACATATATTAATTTTTAGATTATTATGATTATCAATA